TAAGACTAAGCATAGATCTTGGTATATATCACAGCTTCACAGGAAGTATGAAAATGAAACAGTGGGAAATGATAGCAAAGTCTTTGCAGGAACCTAATTTGAAAATCCATTTAGAAACTCAATGATAGTAGGAGCATTCAATGGGTACAAATGAGGAAAGACATGTTGCTTATGAGCTCTAAGGAAAATTTCCTCACTTTATTTTTATGGAGCATTTACTTTTATTTATTCTCCTTGTTATGAGAAATCACAGAACCCATTCAAATGCAGTTATCGATTTTTTCTTTTTGGTCTATGACACTTGGAAATTGTTATCATTGTAATACATCTCCTTTGGGTTTCAGTACTTCTGAGTCATGGTTAATGAGAAGCTATTTTAGAGTAAAGTTTGGGATAGCCTGTGGCAAGCCTTCCAAACGCCGATACTGAAAGGAAGCAGGTTGCGGTCTCCCTTGCTTTATGACTGCATAGGGGTTTTGAGCCACTTTTGCCATGAAAAGAATAAGAATAGAATTGCTTTAAGGCCTTAAGTGTTTAAATCTAACAGAGCCCCACAGAATAAAAGTTCCCCTTGAACACTGAAGCTGAAATGATACTGAAGAAGAGAAGAGAAACAGGGAGTTTTAGAACATTGTATTGGAAGAACACAATGAGAGGGATTCAATTTGCAACAAGCCCCCTTTGTAAGCTCCTAGGAAAATCTCAGTGTTAAGGTACACGAATAGATACTTCCTATGCAATAAGTACACACAATTGAGGTAGTAGCATTTAAATCCTTAAGAACCACCTGCAATGCATTCACCTACCTGAAAAAATACAAGCAAAGAGTCAACAGGGACCATGGATTTCTATCTAATGGCTGTCAGTCTGGTTCTGGGATATTTTTAGCTTTTCTTTCTTTCTTTCTTTTTTTGCAGTGCCAGGTACTGTACCCAGGGTTCTGTGCATGCCAGACAAATTCTTTACCAGGGAGCTACACCCACAACCCATCTGTCACTTGTTTTATGTCTTAGAGAGATAGAAATTTTCATGTTGTCTGTGGTCTTCCAGACTGTTCCATTGGCATTAACTTCATTCTCCCCATTTCTAGCGTGGGATCTCTGGATTCCCAAGAACAGTGCAGCAACTCTCAAGCATCTAGTGTACAGAGGGAGAATGGGGTGACAGTTCAGACACCTGCTGTAGAGACTGTGGAGTTTCTTCGCTATTACATTAACCTTCCACCCAAGGATCGCTTTTTGCAATGGTGGTGCAGTCCAAGGAGGCCAATTCATCATCCACTCCCTCTTATTCCACCAGTTACAAACTGTAGTCTGCATCATTTGATCTTGGGGTGCCAAGATGAGCCAGGCCACCACTGATTCTTGTGTGCACAGGGTCCTGGGCTAGAATGCAGAAAGGACTTCTTGCTTTTCCCTAGCTTCCCTGGCAGTCATCCTCTCAAAGGGCTAGATTTCACCAGGATGGAAAGAAAAGACCCAGTCTTTTTGAGAAGAGCTTTAATGTGTTTACAAGCAATCCACTGCTGTATGTGTCACTGGTGACTGAGTTTTAAGGAGAGAAAAAAAATCGAAGTAGTGTTGATGGCAGTAATTTTATTTACTTTCTCCCCCTTGTTTGGCTTTAAAACATGAATCAAATACATTCTCTAAGTACAGGAAAATTGTAATAATGCTGTTGAGAGCCAATTTTACCACTATAGTAACTGTAAAAACACATCGATGATAGATTTTTAAAACAATTTCAGGGGTATATTGGGATTGTATTTTAGTGCTACGACTAAAACTTGGGAGAAAAGTTAATAAAATGCAGTTGTCAGCAGTTTTGTGTGTAAAGATCCGAGGTCTAATGAACAGATCAAAGGAGGAAATCAAAGGATTCTGACTTTAGTTGAGAGTCACACACTAAGTTCTAGGAATGGCTGGGTGCTCGAGAAAAGGACAAAGACACAGCAATAATCTTTGACAGTTGCAGTAAACAGGAAGATACATGTCAAAGAAAAGCCATGGAGAGCAAAGGACCAGGATTTAGAGCAGGCAAAATCTGAGTCTGCAGGATTTCCCAAGTCACAGAAGAGGCAGGATGAGATGGTCACTGAGTGCCTAATGTCATATGGCAGCTCAAATAGAACCACCCCAAGTAGTTTGTTTATATTGTTTTTTAAGGCAGAATTCCACTGTGTAGCCTTGGCTGGCCTGGGAATTGCTGTATAGGCCAATCTGACCTTGAACTCTCAGACATCCATCAGCCTCTGCCTCCCAAGTGCTGATATTAAAGGCATGCACCACCACACCCAGCATAACTACTTGATTGGATTACATCTATTCTAGCTAAGTTTCAGAATTATCTGCCTTGACTATAGGTACCATTTATTCTATTCTGCAGTATGTGCTAGACCTAGTTCACTTGCTGTCTACTTCCATTGTCTCTCATCCTCACATAGCCTGAGAAGGTGTTTTCACTCCCATTTATTATCAATATCACTTTGTCCTTTTCTAAATTGATTCACTCCAAATTGAATTTACTCCAACACTTAAAACCCACTGGAATGGATGGTGAAATTCAATCCACATTTTCCATGACTCTGGATGACTCCTCTACTTCCTGAGCTCCCCATGTCCCGGTGTGCTTTCTCTCCACACAGCCACAACCCCAATCTGAAAACCAGCATGTGTTCAGTCTCCACACACACACACACACACACACACACACACAGAGAGAGAGAGAGAGCGAGAGAGAGAGAGAGAGAGAGAGAGAGAGAGAGAGAGAGAGGTTGCTTTCATGCAGCTCTGGTAATCGTGGGGATTAGTCTAGGGCATATACACCAGTTTACTGGCTCCTTTCCCCTCCTTTTTCAGCTCTTTCTCTTTGGTCTAGTGAGCCCTTAGGAACTCCAAACTACGCTTGTCTGTTTTATTTCAGCGCTGTCTCTGATCTCCTCTCTTGCTGAGCTAGCTCCTTTGTTGTTCTAGCAGATGAACCAACATTCCATCTTAGAAGATGCACCTTCTTATCATTACAGATATCAAAATTAAGCTAGATATGGTGCTATAATCCCAGCACTTCAGGGGCTAAGACAGGTCATCCTGGGTTACAACAGCAAGATCATGTCTCAGAAAAAATATTAGTCACAAAAATAAATGAAAATAGACTGGGCAGTGGTGGTGCATGCCTATTTTTTTTTTGTCAAGTAGTTTTTATATAGCCACTGTCAAAGTACATGACTGAACAACAACCATTTATTAACAAGAAGGATTGAGCATAATCGCTATACACAATCAAAACCGAGTAACCTAGGCTTCTGGATGAAGAAGGCCAGAGGAGAATTGAAAATAAGTCATACCATATGCAGAGTCATACCAAACGCTGAGAATGCAAGAAATTACCAAAGGGCAGGGTCGGGGGTGCAGTTAAACTAGATCCTTATCTCAACAAAAGACCACAAAGTGATCTCACAAATAATTTTGCACAGGTTTGTATTTTTAAATACACTGTTAATACATATCATTTAATCTTTCATCTTTTAAAGACAAAAAACACTGTATCATCAGTAAGCTATTTTCCAATATTTTAGAATTATCTGCCAAAAGAGCACAAAATTAACTCAAAGCTCCAAAACTGTTAGGTTCCCTTCCTATATAGGGACCCTGTGGCTCCTCTGCTGTACATGACTCTTCATTGAGTAAGCTAATATATTTATTCAGCTTTGATTACAGATGAGATCTTGGTGGTCTTCAGCCAATGTGTTTCACTGGTACGAGTCCTTTTTAAATGAGACAAATGGCTCTGTCTTCATATGCAAAGGTACTGAGTCCTGCATTCTGCACACAACTGCCTACTAATGTTAACACTGTTCAATAAAAGTTCACTGGTAATAAACATAGAAATTTTATTAAATAAAAATGTACATCAATCTGAAGATATAAAAGCAGACAACCAATCTTTCTTGATTGAAAAACAACAAGCTTGCTAATCTTAAGAATACTCCCTGAAACCAAAAGATGGTGGTATATCTCTGTAATGCCAGCACTCCAGAGGCAGGGGTTGGGCATCAGGAGTTCAAGGGCATTCTTAGCTACAGAGGGAGTTTTGAGAGTAGCCTGGGCCACATGAGACTGTCTCAAAACCAACACACACACCCACACACCCCCGGGGGGAGGGAAGTGGTGGGTGGAGAGAAGAAAAAAACCCTGAAGATAATTTTCCTATCTTAAAACACATATCTGACGTGTTCATATCTGACATGTTTTTCTGAAGTTCCCCAATTCTGAAATACTTGACTTAAAGTTAACTACTCTAAGCAGGATACAGTGAATCGAGCCTGTAATCCACTTAGCTACTGGCTGTCCTGGGCCAAATAAGATCCTTAAAACAAACCAAACAACAAAGTTAACTACGCTAGCAAAGGACTGTGAGAATGAACAAAAAGGTTACACATTCGATGGCTTTTCAAATACAACTACTGTGAGTAGGATTTATTTTAAGAAATGAATGAGAGCCAATACAAAATGTTTGCCTCCAAGAAGTATTTCACACTTATAAGAGAAAGGGTCATTAATATTGAACATTTTCCTTGCTCAATGTTTCTAATGTTTCTAAGGGTTTTATGTAAGTTTCATAGTCACTAAGCAGTTTTGAAAGGTAGGCTTCATGACCCCTTTAACTTCATGCTTTTAAATGACATGACAAATTATTTTACTCAAATTATGTTTTCCAAAAGAGAGGGTTCTGTGCTAGGCATCTTTGAAAGTTTTCATATCATTTCAGAACCACATTTGCTGAGATGATCATTTCATACGGATTTGGTGTCATCTGGGCCTGAGAGAGAGCAAGTGATGAAGCAAAATTGTAGAAGCTGTCCAACATCTTCTGTGTGAACTGCATGAATGAGTCAACCGAGGACACAGCAGCACTGCGCACAAGAGTCTGCTGAGCCAGACTGGCCAACAATTCCTCCAAAATGTCAATCTGAGCAACAGATGGAGTTCGAACAATATTCATGGCTCCAAGTAGGTGTTCGCTTCCTGCTCCTCCGGAGGCATGAGGCAGGCACATCTCTGTGAGTTCAAGACCAGCTTGGTCTACAAGAGCTAGTTCCAGGACAGCCTCCAAAGCTACACAGAGAAACCCTGTCTCCAACAACTTAATTGTTAATTAGTGAATTAATAAAAATAAAATACATGTGTATACAGTTGAGGAAACTAACATTCACAGAGGAACTGGGAGTTGTGGTTAGGGACAGGTCTATCAGAATCTAAAGCTTCCCACTTGACAGAATTATCTCCTCCTGACTTATAGGGAGGAGGACACACAGGCTGTCATGCTCAGCATGTTCTCCTGAATATTGACTTTCTGTTTTCTCAGTTGTCTGCTCGATTGCTTCCAACACATCTAAATGAAGGGTACAAAAAGCATGTCCTCAAAACACCTGCGGGTCAACCTGCTTCCCTGAGAGTCAATCCACCTGACAGTCCTGCCATTCTCTGATGCACTACTTCACAGTCAGGGATTTTCACTTCTTGGAAGATTTGTGCCTGTGTCTGAACACATTTTTGTTTGATACTAGTGGAGAAATGTGAGTGGTATGGAATGAATAGAAGCCAGGCAGACACTCTGCCTGCTACAATACACAGGACAGCTCCCTGAAACAGGGAATAACATGAACCAAATTTCATAGTGCCAAGGTTGAGAGCCCCTTCTCTGATGGGTCAGTTCATCGATCTGCAGTGTTTCCTTGTTGCCTGTTTCACGTGGGCCATTTCCTGTTTTATAACCAACTGCCATTGACCCTTTGAGAGCCTACTGCCACATCAAAATTAGAAATAGCTATACCCTTTTGGGGTTATTGTTTCTAAAAATATTATGTAGACTGACTTGAGCTGGCCCTCTCAGTGCTCTTCTTGGTATCACTGGGTTGCATGAAGATATGCATAGGTGTGCACACACGTGCACAGGCACATGTATATGTCTCCAGGAAATGTCACCTATGCACTTTTATATGGCCTAATATAAAGTTGTTCTTTTCTGGGGCAAAACTGGACATCAGTATCCCCATATTTCAAAAATGTAGTACCTTACTTTTCCAGAGAAATGAGACTCAGGTCCCAAATTTCATTCCAAGAACCACACTTCTTAGGGTTTCCTTTACACTTTCTGTTGAATGCTTAGATTCTAGTTGAATGAATTTAGTCCTGTGAATATACTTTTTGTGTATAGGTGTTTTGCCTGCATGTATGCTTTTGTACCCCTTGTATGCCTGGTGCCCTCAGAGGCCAGAAAAATATTACCTGGAACTGGAGTTACAGACAGTTATGAACTGCAATACAGGTGATGGGAATTGAACTTGGGTCCTTGGGAAGAGTAGCCAATGCTTGTAACCAATGAGCCATCTCTCCAGCTCTAAGTCCTGTGTATTTTAATTTCTCATTTCTCCTCTGCCTTTATCTACAAGATGACATCAACATTTAAATGTTTGACCTGGATATATAAAAGTGTCACCATTCAATTGCGGCTGTTTAGCTTTTCCTATGGTTTGAAAGTTCATGTTCCTCCAAAATTCACGTTGAAAGCTAATCTTCAATGTAGCAGCACTGTACGATCAGGGCATTTAGGGGGTTGATATGTCTCTACCTTTCTGGGTATAATTTGTGTCCTTATAAAAAGTTTGAGGGAAGTTGTCCTTTTCCGGGAATTCCATCCACCAAATAAGCACACAGTATCTATCCTATTTCCCTTCTAACAAGCAAGGATACATCCGGAAGAAGCTATTGTAGGTGTGGTCAGCAAGCTCTTATGGGACACCAAATCTCCCAGCATCTTCTTTCTGGGATTCCATCTTTCTGAACCCTGGCAGATATTTTTGTTTATAAATTACCCATTGTGCCATACATTGATAGAGCAGTAATAACAGTTTATGTATTCCACAGGAAGCAACATATTTCAGTTAAGGGATCCTACTCCTGGCAATGCAGAAGGTTGAACCTTGGGATCCATGAATATTAAGCAATCCTTCTACAAGTGAGCTACATGCCAAGGCCCAACTTACAAGAGTTAATGTGATTTAGAGAACTGAAACAAGAATTCAAGTATATACACTCCTTTCTATTGAAACACATCAATCCAAATCATGTTTACCTGTCAGTGACAAGTTGACAGGCATGAATGTTAATCAAGTCAAAACGCAATCAAAGGATTCAGGCAATCACCTGAGTAATATGGACAGAAATGACATCTGGGCTGGATTAGGTAGATTATCCAATTGATTCATTGTGATCTCAGTCAACATGCTTGCTTGAGAACTTCCTGTAGTCATTGTTTACAGGTGTCTGAAGGGGAAAAAAATCTATGGTGGCCAAGTGTCTATACAATTTCTTTTTTTCTATTTTCAAATTTTCTTATTTTTACAACAATCTTATTTTACATACGAATCCCAGTTCCCTCTCCCTCCCGTCCTCCCGCTCCCCCCACCTTCTCCCCACACCACACCCCTCCACTCCTCAGAGAGG